TTATAAAGCTTATCTTCATGCTATAACACTGTAACTAAACAAAAGTAGTCTATTCGAAGCTGAACTTTAACTTCAAATGAGCACTTTCGTATTAGGAGAGGCAAAGTTCTCTAGTATCAAGCAGCGACATAAATATCTCTGGATTAGACAAACCTTATCCAGAAATGAGTGAAGCGAATCGAACTGAAGTATCATCGAGGCGTCCATCTATTACTAATATCGTTTAATAACCGGTGTGATTTGTCCACTATAATTCCGTCCCGATATCATCGTCATTAATTATTCATCCATAGATAATCACTCGTTTCTGACAATCGAGATGACATTATGAGATGGTAAGCATACAGACGGAATGATCGTCAACAATCAGCCATGACTACGCTAAGAGTTGCTTCTTCAACATACCTCCGCCTAAAGCATTGGTAGCCGGTTGAGTATTGTACGTCAGAAGATCTTGAACTTCACAACTTCTAGATTGCCAATCCTACACTCAAAATAATTCTCTGTGCAATCATCATGACTCCAAAAGAAAATCTAAGTTAACTGAGTTACATTTTAATGTCCACCCAGTGGCTTATCGCTTCATAATGGCTGAAGGATTAACGGGTTAATTTCTCAGCACTCTCAAAGAGCAGCTAGGAGCAAGCTGATGCCATGGCAGAGCCTGATGACCTTATCGTGGTTATAACCTTGTCAAAAACAACTTGAAATAGAGAAGCTGCACCAAAAGTGTAATGCTTTGTGAAAGGCTCTAGTGCGGGTCTAGTGAGCGACGAAGATAAATGGAGTCTACCGATGGTTGCGCCGAGTTAGTTAACGATTACCGTGACCATATGTGACAAAAATGATACTTCTGGTGTAACAACTAATGGCAAACTTCGATTTGTTATTCTTGTAGCTCTGGTGTCGGTTATTCTGGCACGTTCTTGTTCCGTGACTTTGGAGTACAAGAATCCCGTATGACATCAGAATGAAACCCATGTTCTTCTTTCAATATAGAAGCGATGGATTTCGAGCACAAGTTTCTCCAAGAACTTGTCTGATGTTTGCTTAGTATCCCTTGTCGCATTGCATTCATATGTTCGTGTAACGCAACTCGATACGGCTTAAACAAACACACAATAAAAAACAAGTACCAGATACTGTGGAACATCAAATATCCGCGTTGGGACTATCGCTTTTCATATGGTCGCACAGAAATGCGAACAATTCTGTATAACGCAATGAACAAAAAGGGAACGACAATGTAGAGGATTAAACAATGGGTCCCATATACGAATAAATACCGTCAGTGTCAGAGTATGTCAAAAGAAGAAACTCCGAGAATATCCAGAGACGATGAATGAAATGAGAGCGACAAGAAGCACGAGATTCTATGGGAAGAGGAAGTCGAAACCCGCTGAGTTATTGCCGAATGAGTCACGCATTTGAGATGTCAGACATAAAAATAGTAAATAAAACGAGACTAAAATCAATAAATACCAGGACAACGAGTCACCTAGCAACTTTACTACGAATTTATCCTGACATACACCATTTATTGACACATTACACATTCTGTTACACATTCAAATGGCCCACAATTTTCTTCAGAACATCGAGACAAAAACAGCAATTAAGCGATATGGACATATTTGGTGGATGGGAAATAAAGTCGACCCTATCTTTATTGTTTCCCTAACTTTATTCATTCTACTATTCCATTAAGCTCCCTATCCAGACTTAACAGGAATCCACCAACTGTGACGTTAACAGGGAATCAACGATTGTGCTTCGGTACGTAATCACGGAGGTTGCACGTAGGGAAGTCGTGGGATCATTATCAAATTGTCAACATTACGGAAAAATGGCTGTAAAGCCTCAGAACTTGTGCAATACAATCCTAAAATACCCTGTGCTATTCGAAACCTCTCAAATACGTGTAAAATGAGACGACCAGCTGAAGAATGTAGCGAGCCAGTTGTGCTGAAGATGTTTGGCAACGAACCAGAACATCACCGTCTTGTTGATAAAGGCCGAGCGCCTTGTTTGATGATTGATGCCGTCCCTGTTCAAAAACATGTCCATCATTGATAAACATAAACGATTGAGAGCCTTATCTTGAAGAAGAATACAGCTCGCTCCAGCAGACCGTATACTTCGATCCACCTAATGGCAGAGGAGTGTTCTTGGGAAGAATTGTGATCTATAGCAGAAATTTATGCTCTCCGTGTCCCAGCTGGGAAGAACTTTGACATTTTCATCTGGAACCCCAACTTAACCTCTCAAGAGTTACCGCCTCAACGTGGCTGGGAGCTGTTTCTGGGTGTCGGGCTGCGATGTACAGCGGAGTGAATCGTCTCCCAGGCAGGGTCTCCCAAGCTGAAAAGGAGTCCGGCGCTTCCATCAGGAAGCCTAGCTAAGATTAAACCAATAATAGGATCTACCACCGTCCTGGTATCAAAGTCGCATGGTGGCAAATATCCCTCTGATCCACAAAGGCTTCGACTGCCTGTGGTGGCGAAAGACCTGGGGCAGACTTTGGCTAGGCTGACCTCGGAATTCCAGGGAACCACAATGGCTTAACCAGCAAATCTCCGAGGAATGGAGATTATGCTGAGGTCCGCACAATCAGTGAGGACGGGCCCTTCAAGTATCAAGTATCATGTACCCCAGCTTAAAAGAGACTAATACAACAGCATATTTCAGCGAGCTACCTGTGGCTAGCAGCCTTGGCGAGCGACAAAAGCGAATGTTTTCTTTACTAGCACTCTTCGAAGATAAAAATGATGCTCCTGATCAAATGTTTTTCCATAACTCGAAAGACCGACTTTCTATAAACCTCGGCATAGATAGCTGATATATTTATTTATATGATCTTATAAACTGATCTTCTTAAGCTGACGCGAGGTTGGTACAGGTCCTCGTTGTCGTTGTCGTTGTTTTTGATGTTGTTGGTCGATGACTGATGTTTCGGCGACTTCGCCTTCCTCAGAGCTAAATGTTTCTTGCATAATCCGACTAATCAGGAAAAATCGACAGGACACTAACAAAGTATCCCTCTAATCGTGGCTCCACAGTCGGGTCCGGTTGCTGACTTGCAAGACACAAGAGTTATACTGGAAGAGTTATACTTTTTTGGAAAAGCATTGCTTCCAGTTTTTCTTTTATGAGAACACAGCCTGTGGTGTTTCATCGAGCTTCACAATATGTATACATAAAAACGTGCAAATGTCTGGATTCATTACCACTATATAGACAGAGGTATGCACCAATCTGGAGTGGTACAAGCATGGAGACTAGCCGTGGAATCCATCGGCGCTTCAACGTTTGACACCTGCACTTCAGTTTATGTGCCATTCCTTTACACGTGGGAAATTCACGGAAATCGTGTCACGGATCATAAATTCGACTTCAATGTCAACAAGTGAAACGTATTGTATGGCAGCCGAACGATTACACTAAAATCGTAAACGCATGCGCCAAACTTTCCAAGTGTCCTGTGCATTGCTTTTCAGTCTAAGATAAATGTATTTCTTACCGAACAGTTCTTTGCTGTCAACTGCTGGAAAGTTGGTTAGATAGCATGTGACTCGTGGATGCCGCAGGATAAATGGAAGATAATCTCTACGAGATAGAGCTTTAAATGTAACATTTGTCCACTTTGTATTCGCTTAAGTCGAACAGCTTTCCATGGGATAAAATCATATATCTGCCACTTACATGAACGGGTATTTCATGTGTCAGTTTTCGTAAAGACAGTAAATGCGTACAAAACGTGAATCGATTCTGAGATGACTTCCTATCTGAGAAATGAAAAGGAAGAGAGGACTCAGTGGCAGTCAAGAATAAAAAATACTTGACACTTGATACTTGAACGACCCGTCCTCACTAGTTGTGCGGGCCCCAGCATAATCACCATTTTTTGGAGATTTGCTGGTTAAGCCATTGTGGTTCCCTGGAATTTCGAGGACAGTCCCGCCAAAGTCTGCTCCAGGTCGTCACCACGACAGGTAGTCGCAGCTCTTGTGGATAAGAGGGAGACTTGCCACCAAGCGACTTTGATACCAGGACGGTGGTGCACCGTGGTATTGGTTTACTCTTAGCTAGGCTTCCTGATGGAAACGCCGGACTCCTTCTCAGCTTGGGAGATCCTGCCATGGGACGAGTCTCCCACTGTACATCGCAGTCCGACACCCAGGAACACCTCCCAGCCACGATGAGCCGGTAATCCGTTAGTAGGGAAGAATAAAAATACTTTCGGAAAAGAATGATAGCATGATTGCTAGGATGTCAAAAGAATGTAAACAACGGATGACAGAGGAGATTGTGAGAGAAAAAAATATTTATTTTAAAGTCACATAGAAAATCTCGACTAATCTGTTTTATAGTTAGCCGTCGTCTTGCCTGATAGCCTACTACGACTAGACATCATGAGATAAACATTATTTAACCGCAGACTAAGAGAGTGTTTTAAGGCTACTGCCATAAAAATAGAGACCGCAAACTTAAGAAATGGAGTTCGTAAAACCTCTCTGTTAATAAAATTCAAAAATACGGTTGACTTTTTAAAATTTAAACTAGCACATAGAAGGCTGAAACTTGATAACAGGATATTGCAATCATTGAAAAAGAAAATCCAGAGAAAGAAAAACGAACACGGAGAAATAATATCGTATAGAAAGCTGCTAAACGTTAAAAACCCGTGTCAAGAGTTCGTCGCATTTGCAAAGTAAAAAAGTATTATTGGATTCTGTAGAGTTTTACATGAACAGCTATCAAATTTGCTTCCAAATGGATTGCGATCGAAAGTGTCGCTTCAGACGGCGGCACTCCGGAAACCGCGCTAGCATGCCCGGGAGTGGATGGATAGCGAAATAGGCGAAGGGCGTTCGTGAATCGGAGCGGCGGCATCGCAACGGATGGTGCTGAATGTGAAATTGAGATCGTATCGGTAGCCGACGAATGCGCGTGGGTGTGGACAGGCGCGTTCGTTCCGTCGCCAAAGCTTCGTCCTACAAATGATCATGGGAGAGGTGATTGTGATAGGGGTGGCCAAGGTGGGTCTTGTGGTGGTGGCGATGATGACGATGATGATGGTGGTGGCCATGACGATAGCGAAGACGGTAGCAGATAGTGGTATAGGTGGTAATCGTGTTGAAAGTGGAAATGGTGATAATGGTTGTGACGGAGGTGATGGCAGAGGTGGCCGAGGTCGTGAAGCATGTGATGGTAACCGACATAGCCGAAATGGTCGTTGCGGTGGTGGCATCATGATGCTGATGATGGTGGTGGCTGTGACGATGACGGTGATGGTGGCAGATAGTGATAGTGATGATTGTGATTGCGGTAAAGATGATAATGGTGCTTAAGGTGGCAACTGTTGTGATGATCATGATCGTAATGGGGGACGTTCGGTGTAACTTCAGTATGGGGATTTGCGCTACACATTTTTGCAGACTGTCCGTATCGTTGCGAACTTGTCACCTCTTCAGAAATCCAGACGAATACTCGCAAAAAACGCCAACGTGTGTTCATCAAATTCACCCTTTCAATCCTAACGACGGAAAAACCTACTTTACTGTCACAACAGTTTTCATTTTCCTTCTAAAATTAATTCATGGACGATTTTACTCGATTTTATCCTCAAAGGCTGCTAAAGTAGTTTAGTCAAAAAATATCGTGGTTTATTGATAAGCCTGTACAAGGTTCCCAAAACTTACTGTTTCCTTCCGACCTTATTTATATTTTTGAAGACTTGGAGTATATAACAATTTAAAGATCATAAATACTAAACATTAAGCGATAGAACTAGCTGAGAGATAGGCGAAACGAAGCACCCGCACGGTGTGTCCGTGAACGGGTTAGCCCCGGAAAGGATAATAGCGCGTTCGTTCCCCACTGGAGACACCTGCGGCCCGGAGTTCTACAAATATCTTAGCATCATTGAAGTTATATTTCACAACATGCCTTGCCATTAAAAAGAGTAGAAAGTAAATAATAAGTTAAAATTGTGATTAGGCGACATTTTTAAATAGTCTTCTAGAATGATTGCTGAGTGTTGGAAGCCTAATTGCTCGATTTAGTTCAGAACTGTTTGAAAATATGAAAAGGAAGAAAAACGTCAGTAACAGTAATTGCAGTCATTTTTCAACGAAATGTTCCAAAAGATACCGATGACGAAGTTTCTATGGAAGCGAAAGCGAAGGAGAAGAAAAAACCCAGAGAACAGCAACTAGGCGTGCCGAATGAGCGGAAGAGGCATTCCATAGCCATCCAAGAAAATGAGCTTCAGAAGCTAAGAAGAAGAAGAAAATCAACAGTGTCGTCATAGAAACTCACAACCGCACAAGGAATTATACTTAAGAATTAATTAGCTTGTCTCCATATAAAAATAAATAATTGATGGCAATCCTTCCAGCGATTACCCGCCTCATCGTAACTGGGAGGTGTTCCTGGGTGTCGGGCTTCGATGTACAGGGGGAGGATTCATCCCCCTGGCAGGGTCTCCCAAGCTGAGAATGAGTCCGGCGTTTCCATCAAGAAACCTAGCTAGGAGCAAACCAATACCAAGATTCACCATTATCCTGGGATCAAAGTCGTATGGTGGCAAATCTCCCTGTGATCCACAAGGACTGCGACTGCCTTTGGTGGTGAAGAGCTGGGCAGACTTTGGCCAGGCTGACCTCGGGATTCCAGTGAACCACAATGGCATAACTAGAAAATCTCCGAGAAATGGAGATTATGCTGGGGCCCGCACAACCAGTGAGGACGGGCTTTTCAAGTATAAAGTATTAAGTAAGTAACTGGTGATTGAAAAGATAGCATGAAAAGTTTGGAAAGGAAGGAAGACAATAACAGACGGGAAAAAGTCATGAAAACAATGAATAACGTTCAAGATCAATAGAAAAAGAGATGTTTTTGACAAGTTTTAGCGTCTTTTGTTGACTTTTCGATTTCAACTTATTGGTTGTGGAAAAGATATATAAGATGACAAGAAGAAAGAGATAAAGGACAAGAAAGGATACGAATAGAACAATTAGGGAGCGAATAGTTTGAAAGGAAAACAAAGAAAGTGATGACTAAAGAATAGTATTAATAAGAGAACAAGATGGAACAGGGAAACAACGAAATGATATAAGACGAGAAGTAAGGAGAAAACAAACACGATAGTGTCTTGATGACACATTTGTTTGTCCTCAAATACACAAAAGCAAAAAATATCACCGACAAACCAACCTCTTCGTCGTCCTCCGTGTGCCTCAGACGCAATTCTTCAGTGTCGCAGTTGGTGTTCTTCAGATTCACGATTTCTTCTAATCTAAATTCCTCCTTGAAATCGCAGATAACGTCGGCGACCGACGAGAGGATGCTGAGTGCCGCAGCCGGTCTTTCGTCGATTTCCGACGAAGACGACACCACCGGCTTGGCAATCGGAAGTGAGCCCGACGGCAGCAACGAGGACAGAAGGGTGATACTGAAAAACGTCTTGATAAAATAACATAAAAAAGGTTTAGAAGAAGGGTTATTTAGCAAGAGAACGATTCGTAGCAGCGCTGTTTTAAAGCCTTGGGGACTTTTCAAGGATTGAATTTTCCTGGAATAAGCGTATGAAGACGAGGTATGTATATCTCGCTAGAAATTGTTGAACGCATTTGTGTAGAAAATAGGAAACGGAAGAAAAAAAAACTAACAAGAAAAAAGTTAAGCAGGGAAGAATTGAGAAAATCGAGAAGTAGAGAGGATAATGATAATGGGTTAAAGTGAGATGGTGATATTCTTAAGCGCATAAAACGGAATAACCTTCACATAAAAAATTCTTAAGCTCACTTATAACGTATTCTTCTAAGGACAGAAAACCAACAGTATACTATTTTTATCTACATGCAACACTTCTTGCTTCCGTTTTGCAGCTTTGTAGTTTTTCCAAGGAAATATGAAGAGTCTAAGAGTACTGCGAAGCTACAAACACCTTTAAAGGATCGTTTAGTGCGGTTTTTATTTATCGTTAAAATTATGCAGAAATACTGAAATGTTTCAGGAAGAAACCAGGGCTCCGCGAGTCGACACACGTTAGTACTTGACTCTAAAACAACTAGATCTTCTGATTAGAGCTAAATGACTGCGTAAATTTATCACAACACTAAACTATAACAGTCAGTTTAGTCTATAACACCGTCAATGCCTCAGAGAGACATGGATACGAAATCGTGAGCAACCAGACAATATTTTGTGGATGTGACTAAGATCGAACAAGAATTGTATTGTAGTAGAAACCGAACAGTTTAGAAGCTTATTTCACAGAACCATAAAATCGTCTGCATTGCTAATGAAAGTGAGACCTTCACGTATTCGGTAACCGCTTTTTTGCTTAGGACGATTGCAAGTAATTAGTTACTTATAAGAATAATAGATAGAAGAGATAGCCTCAATAGTAATGTGGGTCCCAGAAATGCAACCAAGTTCTTGGTAGATAGCGTTATTTCCAAGACCGTTTTACCCCAAAAACTAGGCATGCCGCTCTATTGCGCAATGACGGAAATTTACACAATAGCCGGAAACGCCCAGAAAAACTCATTTTTATTCCAAACATTTCCATGTGTGACTTTCAGTAAGGAGAAAATCATAAAGCTATAATCGGAAGTAAGGTTTCGAAAAAAGACAGGAAAATTTCAGATTGGTTGAACTACCTCGTTCACCGTATCTCCTATTCCAAACGATCCAACTAGAACATGGACAAATAAGGCGGTCACAAATGGCGATAACATCGTTGTGCTATTTTAAAAGTAAATATAAGTGATAAGGCAGGGACGGTGATTGCATGAGTTCAGGTACGATATACCTGATCTCGTGTAACAATTGCGGAGATGAATATATTGGCGAAACGGGAAGACCTTTGTGTATCCGTATAAAAGAACACCTAGACGGCAAACGAAAACTAAGACGAAGCACCCCACTAGGCACGCATAGGATACAAAAGCATAGCGGAGACGATTTTGAAGTAAAAGTCAATATCCTTGCACAGGAGTCCAAAACACCAGCGCGAAAACTCCTAGAGGCTTTTTGGATCAATGCCAAAAACCCTACAATGAATAGCAGGGACGAATGCCCGGAGGTCATACGCGACCTGATCCCGTATGTTCGCATCGATTTTTGATGTGGGATGGTGTAGTCGTCAACCACATGCGACTATAATCAGCTGTTCTAAACTTCCTCATTGGAAGTCACGAAAAAGCGGTGGGTTTTTCGAGAAGTTGTTGGTCATGTAATTACCGGAGAGTTCTTCGTCTTCTTGTAAGTGTTATTGAAGCGTTTGGCCTAGTAGATTGTATATCAGTATACCCTTCCAGGCTCTGAAGAAGGCGATACTGCCGAAACGTCAGCTAGCGTTGTATTGTATTGTGTTTTTATGGAAGTAAATGTATGCTGTTTAAAAACCTCGCGATTGCTGAACAAGAAAACGACACATT